ATTTCCACTTGAAAGGACAAGCAGACCAGCCTGGAGCAACTAGAAGAGCAGAAGATACTTCTTGAAAGAAAGACCTACAAGAAAAATACAAAACAATATAGGCACACCGACCGATTACTACAAGAACAAGCAAGTTGCTCACCCAGGAGACATCAAGGCAAGTGGTCGGGTCCCCTCAGAGTAAACCCCCTCCCAAGACTAAGACTCAAAGGGAATACATGGTCTAAGGGGAAGTGAAGGAAAACATCAATGCAGCTGTGAGCTAAGCCCTACAATGTTCAATAGACTCTTGTGAACTCTTGGTGGAGACCAGGTTGGCCATCAGTGTGGCAAGACCTGGGGATTCTTGGGCCCAGAGTCAGACCACAGAGGACTAGAATGGAGAGTGAAGCATCCAGCTGATAAGAAGAGAGGGCATATGCATATGAATACCCACACTTGCAGATAATATCCACCTGACCTGGCTTCAATGACTGAGTGATCAGAGCTCAACTAGAAGAAGAAAGAAGAGGAAAAAAAGAGTAATCTGATACAATTTGATGAACTTGACCTACACCTATGGATGCAGTAGCTCAAAAGAGGGAACAAGTCCTTACAGCAAGAATCATCCCCACCCCCTCCACACACAGAGTAGAAAGGGATGGGCATCTTGGACATTGGCTACCCAAAGGCAAAGTGGGGGTCTACAAAGGCAAGAAGTGACTGGTTTACAAACTTTCAAGAGGGAACCTAGATCCAGAGGGTGTGGAGGAAGGTAGAATCTCCACTGAGTAGTATCTAATCTGTCTAGGCAGGGCTGATGAAATGAAATGCAGATAGGTCTCTTGTGATACAGTAGTGAATAATTGTTACCAGTACTGATTGTGGGGGTTGGAAATGTAAAGGTAGGCATTTTGTAGCAAGGAGGGGAGTGATTAACTTTTTAGTCTAGAAGTGGAGGTCCCTGGGACCATCAAGGGAGAAGAGCGGAGAGCAGGACCCTACCTAGAGAAGCAGTGACGCCAGAGATGGAGGCAGAGACAATGACGTGGAGAGATGGAGCGGCTGGGGCCTTTAGACCCAGAGAGGGAGAGGGGCTGTGTGCTGACACAACCAGTGGGCTGACACAACCAGGGGGTGGGGGTGGGTAGCAGGTTTGCAGGGTATACCCTTTGGCTGGTTGATGATGCGTGGAGGGGATTTTACCCATGGCAATGAAATGATATACGATAGGATGAATGTAAAACTAATGTTCTCCCATGTAAACTACCACATAATTCATAATAAAACATTAAAAAAACAACAATGAAACAATGTTACACATATTATCAGGAGGAACTAGTCCCTGGAAAAGGACATCGGGTTTGGTCAGCAAAAAAGAGGGAGACCCCCGACGAGGACTAACACAGTGGTAGCAACAATGGGCTCAACATAGACGCCATCGTGAAGATGACACAGGACCGGGTGGTATTTTGGTCTGTTGTACATGAAGTCACTACGAGTCAGAACCAACTCAACGTTAACACCTAACAATAACGTTAGACACTAAGAGGCTGAAAAAAGAACAAGAGAAACACACCATATTTTCAGTAATACTAATATAAATTGTTATCACTGTTAGGTGCCACTGAGTCACTTCTGACTCACAGTGAATCTGTATAGGGTTTCTGAAGTTGTAAATCTTCATGGGAGCAGAAGCCTCATCTTTCTCCATTGGAGCGACTGGTGTGTTGAAACCACTAGTTGTGGTTAGCAGTCCAGTGCTTATCCTACATCATTACAAGAGCTCCAATATTTTATATTAATAATTACTTTATTATAACAGTAGTAGTTTATATTTTTATACTACTTGAAAGTTTCCAAACATGTTTTAGCATAATACAGTGATTAATGTCTTGAAAGATAATTATAAGTGACTTTTACAGTGACTGGGGTAGCAAATGGGACAACTGGGATGGACCCCATGTTCTCCCTATCTCCCCATTGTCTCTGTTGCTATTAAATGGGACAACTGGGATGGGCCCATGTTCTCCCTATCTCCCCATTGTCTCTTGCTATTAAATGCCATTGAGTCAGTTCCAATTCATAGTGGCCCAGTCTAAGGTTTCTGAGGAGAGGCTGGTGGGTTTGAACTGCTGATCTTGTGGTTCAAACTGACCTTGTAGTACAGTGCATTATCCTGTAGTGCCACACCAGGATTCCTTTGATATATTAGGCAATGGGAAAAGCTTGCTTCAGAGTGGAAGTTAGTTTACTCTTTAACAAGGCTCACTTAACAATAGCCCATTCTTAACAATAGCCTATTCTTAACAATAGCCCATTCTTAACAATAGCTCATTTAACAATAGTCCATTCTTTACATATCCTGGAAGGGTCAACAAAGACTACAGACATTCATCTTTCCTTCTGAAGAATTAAATGAGTCGCCCATGGCTTACCCCAGAGAATTTATCCTCTTTGAAATACCTTAGCCCATATATACAGAATAGATACTCTGTCTTCATAGCATTCCAAACATTATGTCTGAGGCATAAAAGCTTAAAACTAAGACATGGAACGAGCTCTCCAGATTGTAAAAACAGAGACATATTCTCATATGACAAAAAATCTGTACTTGTTTTGTGTTACTTGTGGGGTAAGTATTACCTTTTCTCAGGGTCTTGTTGCAAGCAGACTTGTACCAAGCTTAAGAAGGCAGAGGAGAAAGGTTTTGATGGTGTCTGCAATCGGTCACTGTTGGCTGTACGAGTGCCACTGGGCACAAGCACACTTTCTCCAATCCCAGAGTCTAGCCCTGATCGGGAAGTTTTCATTCTGGATTCGGACTGAGGGAAAATGTTGCTATCCAGTGGGCTATAAGGAGGACCTTTCAGTTTCTGCAACAGCATCTGAAAGGAAGAAAGACTCACTCGTGTCAGCAGACTGTAGACAAGAGAGTAAAACCAACAGCAAAGATGCCAAGAGCCTACCTGGAATAAAAAGGATCTTATGAAAGAAAAGCAGTTCAAGGATCTTAGAAGCTGTTTGGGATTAAATTGTGTCCTTCAAAAAGATATGTTGAAGTTGTAAATCCTAGTACCTGTGAATGTGACCTTATGTGGAAATAGGGTCTTTAGAGATATAAATCAGTTGACATGAGGTTACACTGGAGTTGTTGTTGTGAAGTGCCATTGAGTCAATTCCGACCCATAGCGACCCTGTTTAGGATTTCCAAGGAACAGCTGGTGAGCCTGAACTGCCGACCTTGCAGTTCAAACAGCTTTGCAGTCTGGCGCATTAACCCAGAGTAGGTGGGTTCTAATCCAACCTCATGTTGCCCTTAAAAAATAGAGAATGGACAAAGACAAGCAGACATAAAAGTTGTGAAAGGAGAGCAGCAGGACCGAGGGAGTGATTCACCCGCTCTGGTGTTGCCCCTGCCTTCATCTTCACTGCTGCCATGTCAGAGAAGTCTAAGGAGGGAGTGAACATGGAAATGGACCACATCACCATGAAGGTGGCCAGGCAGAATGGTTCTGTCATCCAGTTCAAAACCAAGAGACACACATGCCACTGAGCAAGCTGATAAAGGCTCACTGCAAGCGACAGGGCTTATCAATGAGACAGATTAGATTCAGGTTTGATGGGCAGTCAATTAACAAAATGGACACCCAGCACAGCTGGAGATTGAGGATGAAGATACAATCGAGGTGTTCCAGCAGCAGACGGACGGCACGTAGGCAGCTGCTAGAGGCCTCTTGGGACGTGGCACCTAGGAGGCCCATCCCACACCCGTGTCACCTGTCCTTACATTTGCGAACTAGTTGTAAACACGTGAACATGTCAACATAAAAGAATCTGCAGAAACTTGAGGACAGTCACCAAATTACTTTTGTCTCTCTTTGACATACATCGAGCGCAACTCAACGCTATTTTTGCAAAGATTTATCTACAAGTGCAATTGGACCAATACAAATTGCTGTCCTTGTTTAGGTAAAATAAGTTGCGAGGTTCTTTGGGCTTTTGATTTTTTTCTTTTTCCCCTCCTGCAACACTGCTCCTCCAAACTTGTGACCTTACTGTCCACTTCAGTCTGCAGGCTGAGATCTTGCCCCAGGTGTTGTGACCCTCCCTCCCCATACTTGATCTAATCATGTAGCTAGCTCTGTGCAATGCAGTGGATGCTTCTCCTGGGCATAAGTTTTGGGGATGGAAGACAAAATTTCATTTGTTTATTTATTGTTGCTGTTGTTGTTAAGTGCCTTTGAGTCGGTTTCGACTCAGCAACCCTGTATAGGGTTTCCAAGGAGCTGCTGGTGGGTTTGAACTGCCAACCTTGTGGCTCGTAGTCCAATGCTAATTCACAGCGCCACACCAGCACAACTTATTAAACTGTACCTAAATATCGTAAATTTAAACTTTCTCAGAATCTGGTAAAGTCAAAGGGAAAATATTGGGATGCTGCTTACAAAGTGAAAAGGGAAACAATGAGTGCCCATAATCCTCACCACCCCCAAGTGTGACCCCATAGGGCTCTGGGGTCCAGGGTCCCCGTCACCACTGTTCAGTACCTGCAGATTGGTGTAGCAGGTAAAACTACATAACTCAATTGGCTTCTCTCCCTTTTTTCATATAGGAGAAAATAATGACCACAATTCCCGTTTGGTAATATCACTGTGGCCCCATTTCTTTTAGTATTTGTTCCTGATGAATAATTATGGTCTATAGTTTTCATCAGTCCTGGTGTGGCGCTGCAGCACTGTATCACAAGGTCAGTTTGAACCACAGGGTTGGCTGTTCAAACTCACCAACCGCTCCTCAGAAACCCTATACCGGGTCGCTGTGAGTCAGAACCAACTCGACAACACTTAATTAAAACAATATATAAATAAGTCAGATAAGCATTGCTGAATTTGCAGTTATTGTTGTCTTCAAGAACTACTTCAAAGAGTGGTGACAAATGGAAAAGATGACTTTCTGTTATTCTCGTGGATTTTTGCTATGCTGCTTTCTAAATATCTATTAAATGTATGCATTAATATGGATACATTTAATACATAATAGCCCTGCGAACTATTTTGGGATCTATACCAATTAAAAAGTCATCATTCTGTCTATTGTTCTGCAGTAGGGGTGCATTGCTGCTTGACAGCCAATCTCTCCTATTTGTAGTCATTTGCAGTGCCACATGACCTGTCATCTCTTGTTTGTTTGGAATCTTGCTGAAAATGTTATTGTTTTCAGTTTTCCATGTAGGCAGGGGTGGGTAGGATGTTTGTTGGCTCTCATGTTTACTCACCAATTTGTACATTATTTGTTCTCCTTTACTACTACTGTAGATAATAAATATAGTTTGGTTTAAAAAAATTTTTTTTAAAAAGATACAGTGGAGGAAAAACACTGTGTGACCTGTGGCTCCCTTCCAAGGAATGCTGGGAGAAGCTAGAAGAGAAGTATGGAAGATCCTTTCTCAAAACCTCAGGAGAGATCAACACAGCAAAGATCCTGATAATCAATTTCTATTCTTACAATCCACCAGCTGTGGTGACTTGCTATAGTAGCCCTAGGAAGTGAATACAGTAGCATTTACCTGAGTCCTGTGCATGTCCTGGAAAGGTACCTGCCCACTGGCTAGTTCACATGCTGTAATCCCAACACTGTAAATATCTGACTTCACATTATATCCATGTAAATCCTGTTGAGAAAAACAATTAATTTGAAGTCTTTTAGTGAAAAGTTGCTAAATACCAACTTTTAAACATGTGCTCTTTTGATAAATGATAGTGACCAGTAAGTAGAAGGAAAAACCCATAAGAGACAAATCAAGATATACCTAATATATGGTATATATATATATATTTGAAGTCCTACCATGATATTTTTGACAAGAGAAAAATGTTTTGCAGTAGGTCATTCACCAATCTAAATACAAGGGCATGACTGTTCTTTAGTCAAACTGAGAAGACACTTGAGATACACAGACAACTCGATGTAACAGCCACATCTGACCTGTCTCAGTAGTTCTGGACTCAGCCACGGCTGCACTGATGTGCTGAATTGTGGGAAATCATACACAGCCCTATGCTTCTGTCCGTGCTTAATCAAACTATGCAGATGGGACAGGCCAGAAAGGGTCACTAGGCCATCACCAGAAATGAGGATATGGCTGGCTTTAATACTCCTAGAACAAAAAGAAACAATTCTAAATACTAGGAAATTGGCCAATGAATAAATGATGAAAGAATAAAAGTCTAGTGTAAACAAATTTATGTAGTCTCTTGGAAATGAAATACTCTTTATAAAATAGCAGCACACTGCTGTATATATGGGAAATATCCATGGAATTAAGAAATTATTTTGGCTATTTAATATAGCACTAGAACAAGGAAAAATCTAACTGAAAGCTACATGTTTAGAATTGATCATAATTTTCAAACAAGGAACAGAATTAATTATTTATTATACTATTTTAAGATGCTGTTCAAAAAGACCTAAGAAGAAATCTAAAAAAAATTCCTTAAATAATATTTGAAGTATAAGGTCATAATTTAAAGTCAAAGGCAATGTTGTACAAAAAAGACAGGCTCCCTGGATAGTATCATTTAGAAAGATATGTCTTACATAAAAATTTCCTTTGTCAAACAAATTATAAGATAACTTTTGTTTCATCTGAAACGTTGAATTTAGACACTAACAGGTTATGGTAGCCAGTAGAAAACTGAAACAAACCCTAAGAAAACAGGCTTATTTAAAAGTAACTTAATAATGAAGCAAAACAAGGTTCCAGTGTATCTTAGAACAATATTCTTTTAAATATCCAGTCAATTCCTTCTATATCTACAGTTTGGTAACAAGAGAATTGATATTTAGCATTAATAATCTAAAGACACTACAAAATATTTAAGAAAGCAAACAAAGTTTTAACTACAACTTGCACATAAAAATATAATCTAGTCATACCATCAGATCAAGAAGCTGTTTAGAAGTCACTGTAGCTAACTAGGACCCCACTCCCTACGGCGGTGTCTCCCCTGCAGGCACTCAGTGAGGGGAGTCACTTCACTGAGCAGCTAGAACAGCACATGGCAGAGAGGAGGCACGCTGAATTCTCCTCTCCTCTTCCTCAGAGGGAAGGAAGCATCATTTCCGAGTCTGCTATTTTTCCTCTCTAACACTCCACTGTGAGGCCTTAAAAGTTCCCTAAAAGACTTCTTCTATTAAAATTCTTTCATTTTGTAAAATATAAACGAGCAAATACCTGTGAATGTAGCCATTTTGGTGCAGATAATTCAACCCCCTCACTGCTCCATAGAGAATGTTTCTTATTAAAGATTCACTCATTCCTTCAGGAAAGTAAGTCTTCAAAAGTTGACTTGCTGAACCTGAAAGAAATCCCTCAAACCTTTAAATGAACATTGGAAGTAATTTTGCTTCCAGCTATTTTTTGGTTTCTTCAGCTATAAACAAAAACATGTACACACACACACACACACACACATTACATTTTAGAGTCTAATTACTTTTCTAGGCAAAGGTAATTTTCCTTCAAAAATCTTGACAAAGATTTTTTTTCTAATGATGTACAACAGATTAGTAACCAGAATTATCAAATTTTCAACGTTTTAAAACGATACATATAGTATATATGTATATGTGTATACATTTTTAATTCAGTCATTTTTTAAACAAAACCTGTCTTGAAAATGAAAGCTCTATACTCCACTTATTTATTCCCTGAACACATGTAGTGAACATTACTTTGTGCTAGGTGAGCACTGGGGGCACCAAAATGAAAAATACATCCGTGATTCCAGATGTGAAGAAGCTCAAGTCCAGTGAAGGAGGCAGGACAGATGTTGACACTGAGTGAAATGAGTTTGCAATGCAGTGTACACAGGAGGAAAAAACTATGTCTGCCTGAAAAGTAATAGTAGCACTCCACTGAGAGAGGAAGGAAACCTTAGGGAGCAGAGACGGTTTGTGTAAAGCCACAAAATTCTCAGAGTCGCGGTGGTGATTCCACTGATGCCCATATGCATTCTGCCTGTTTGTGAAGACTGAAATGCAACATGATTCAGATCTAGAAATATGCCATGAAATCTAAAATTGGCCATTATACTTATAAATTAAAAGGAATAAACCATAAATCTAAGATTTCAACCACCCTTACAATGATAGCATACAGGCTAAATAATGAGTTATTTTATCTCAAACCAGTTTTCTTACCATAGGTCATAAATGGAGCAATAACCCAAAGCCAGCTGCCAACAGTGAAAACTGTCCAATAAGTTGTAATATTGGGGTGCCGGAAGAAGTGGGATAGAATCACTGACTTCTAGGACAGACACAAAAGATAAGGCATTTAAAAAGAATCCTTGTTTTTCCTTTAGTGATGAGAATAACATCAGCAGTGGCCCCTAAAACTCAGGGGGAGTTTATCTGTATTAAGCATTGCTCTAAGTGCATCCACCTCTCTAAACCACACACCACACCATGAAGCCTGTGTTATTATTATTCCCATGTATGGAAGTGGAAACTTTGAAATAAATTAGAAAAATTATCTGAAAATATGGAGTTAGTAAGTGGAAGCAGGCTGTGAACTCACTTTGATTCCAAAGGCCATACTCTTAAATACTATGTTCTTACTATAGATAATTTTTAAAATATATGTAAAAATAATAAAAAATACATGACAATATAAAGATAAAAGTCATCCCTAACAGAGACAAGACGAGCACTTTTACATCACAGAGAACCACTATTAACACTTATTTAGTAGAGTTTTTCCAGTGCAGATGTATGTACACATACAAGAGCAAGTTAAAAAACAAGTACTGCTACTAAATCATAGAAAACTTTATTAAACACAAAATACCATAATGTGAAGTTATTCATGGAAAAATAGAACTGAACGATAAAGGAAATTTTCCCTAACTTTTTGAAGCTCCCTTGTAGTGTATCTTGACATAGTCTCCACCTAGGTCTTATACACTTCTGAAGGTGGTGTTCTATCTCTTTAACTCTTCCTCAAATTCTTCACTCTTTGATTTATACCAAGTCAAAACAGCAGCTTTGGTATCCCCAAGGGACTCAAATTGTGTTTCTTCGAGTTTGAGAAGTGAAAAGAAGCCTGAAGGGTTAATATCAGAGCTAAAGGGTAGATGGGACGAGGTTTGCCAATGATATTCTCGTTGGACAGACTTTGTAACCTCTGAGGAATGAGCAGGTCCATGGTCATGATGTAAAGAAAAAGTTCTTTGGTGCAATTACTATTCTGGCCTTTTTTTTTTGCCATTCTGTGTCCTTTGAGAAAACCTATCAAGATTACACCTTTGGAATTCCCAAAAATAGTCTGAGCTGATCTCTCTGGCTTGAATTTAACTGGTCCAATAGATTCCCTCAGGAACAACTGTTTTGATTGGACCTTGCTCTCTGGATTGTATTGGTAAATCTAAGATGTCTCTCTGGTTACAATTCATTCCATAAAATGTCTTCATCAACTTTGATTTTGCTTAAAAGACTGGTGGAAAGATCAGCTCTTGGAGCTAGCTGATATTTGCATAAAGCTATTTTTCTAGTATCAATTTTTTGGAAAGCATCCTACCAAGACTAAGGCAAATGTATTACTAAAGAACTTGTCTGCAGCCATTCACTGATTATGAGACATGTTTAAACACATGTTGTTTGGAATACTTGTGCATGTATGAGCTAGAACACTTCTAGCACTCTTTTGGATGACTTTTGCTCATATAAGTATTTACAAAATTAAACATGTTGAAACAATATCCTTTCCCTCTTTATATCAAAAAGGATTGTTGTTGCTATTAAGAGCCATTGAGTAATTCCAACTCATAGTGACCCTGTATAGGGTTTTCAAGAAATGGCTGGTGAATTTAAATCGCCAACCTTGCAGTTCAAACTGACCTTGTGGTCCAATGCATTACCCCACAACACCACACCAGGACTCCAAAAAGGATTAGTGACACTGAAAATAGTATTATCATATCCTTGAAATGCAATTTTGGTAAAATTTTTCAATTCAGAAGTTAGTTTTGCTTAATTTAATAAAAAAATAAAATATTTGCTTTTGTTTTTTCTATTGTTCTTACATAACCATTTGTGATTATACTGACTAGGGAAGTTGTGAATATCCAGATTAGCATTCCAAATATGATATGCCTTTGAAGGATTGAATTGTAGTTTTTCAGTTATTTATACGAGTTATTCATAGTAAAAAGCCCACTGCCATCGACTTGATTCTGACTCACTAACATTCCTGCAAATCTTTTCAGGGACAGAAAGCCTCATCTTTCTCCCTTGGAGCAGCTGGTGGGTTTGAACTGCCAACATTGTGGTTAGCAGTCCTGTGCTGGTCCTATAGTGCCACACCTAACATTTGAATACATATGCCCTTTCATGTAACAGAGCTGGCTTCCAGGTGTTCATTCCAATTCTGTACCTGCAGGTTAATTAAGAAGAAGAAATCTACTTTTTGCTGGTGGGAAGAATCATGAATTTGGAAAAAAAAGAAAATTAAGATGTAGTCTCTTTAAACAGGTGTTACATTAAATGGTTTTCGGTTTTTTTTGTATTGTTACCTGTAAAGCTTTTAGGCGTTCCTCAGTGCAATTTTCCAGATTTGTAATTTTTATAGTCACCAACGTTCCTGTGGGAGTATGCCTTGCAAGATAGACAGAAGTCAAATTGTCAAATCCTCTTCCTGTAATCAGACATAAAACTCATGTTAGCAGGCATAAAAGAAAATATCGATGACTTAAGACTTCACCAAAGCTAAAATCTTCTGCTCTTTAAAACATACTGGCTTCTTTCACTGAACATAATGTTTCTTTTGAGACTCATCCATGTTGCTGTATGTATCAGTAGTTTCTCTTCATTACTGAGTACTATGGATATACAACAGAGTTATCCAGTCACAAGTTGATGACACCTGGATTTTTCCCAGCTTTTGGTGACTACAAACAAAGCTGCTATAAACATTCCTGTATAGCTATTTATTTAGACATATATTTTCATATCTCTTGGCAAAACTTAAAAGTGAGATTATTCGGTCATATTGTTGTTGTTCTTAGGTGACATAGAGTCAGTACTGACTCATAGCATCCCTATGCACAACAGAAAAAAACACTGCCTGGTCCTGGACCAACCTCATAATTGTTGCCACGCTTGAGCCCACTAATGCTGCCACTTGGCCAATCCATCTTGCTGGGGGTCTTCCTCTTTTTCTCTGACCCTCCACCTTAGCAAACATGATATCCTTCTCCAGAGACTGGTCCCTCCTGACCATATGTCCGAAGTATGAGAGACGAAATCGTTCCATTTCATTTTTGACAATTTCCAATTTTCCTAAGTAAATTACTTCACACAGTCCATGTTTTGATTATTAATGGATGTTTACAGCTGTCTCTCTTCATTTTGAGTTGTGCATATAAAAAGTGTATATTTAACATTATAAGAAGCTGCCAAACTGCTTTTGAAAGCAGTGAGGTCATTTTGTATTCCTACAGGCAATGTATGGGAACTGTAATTGTTAACCCTAGTCACCGGCATTTGGTACTGTCAGGTTTAAAAATTAAAAACAAAATTCTGCTCTGGAGTGGCATCACTGAAATGTCTGCCCACCTTAGACAGTCACCAATTTCTGTCAGTTTTATCTGTGAAATGAAATGAATCTTCAGTCCATGCTATCCTCTCCTCCACTGTCAACACCATTGCCTTAGGCAAAGGGATAGTGCTGTATCTCAGACTTTGACCACTGACTAAGGCAGTGACGAAGACAGAGGAGAAGAGGATGGATGAACTCAACTCAAGATCAGACTCTACAGGTCTTTATATCACTAACACCTACCATAATTTCTAGTTTAGAGAGTTTAACAGATCTTTCTGAGTATTTAGAACAAATGTTTCTTAAATATAAAGTTATAATCAATCCTATTTCAAACTAAGACAGATTTCTACTACAAATAAGATTTCAAGTGAATTTTTCAGTTAAAAAGACAGCAATTTGGTTAAAGGACCATGACTTGAAAAGATTCCCAAGATTTGATTTTAATTCATACCCAGCATAAATTATATCGATAAATTAGAACAAAACACAAATAATGAATATCTAGATTGCTTAGTATCTTCTGCCTCTAAATAACATCTTTGGAAAAGTAAAATTTCTAGACTGTTATCTAGAGAAAAATCTGGGCTACCATTTTAGAAGAGATTCAAAATGAATGGATCATTGGACTGACTCATTAATATCGTATAAACATTTTGCTGCAGGTAACAAGAAAAAAGCCACCTTATAAAAAATTTTTTGTCATCACTTCCTAACAATGAAGGGTCAATTCTGTGAAATGCAGTATTATTACCTATTTTCACTTGAAGTTCATAGTGGGAAACATTAGTGGAACTTATCACTTCACTGGCTCCTATGGACGGAGGCAACCAGGAAAGGGTTGGCTCATCAACCTATAGTTTTTTAAAAAACATGAAAACAAAGTAGGTAAGAATAAACTTTTCTGGTTTTCCAATTTTGTCCCCGAAACCAAAACCAAACTCACTGCTGACTAGTCAGTTCTGACTCACAGCGAAGTAAAGGCAGAGAAGAGCCATGCTTCACATGGCTTCCAAGGCTGTAACCCTTGAAATCAGACTGCCAAATCTGTCTCTCACAGAGCAGCTAGTAAGTTCAAACTTTAACCACTGGATAAAGTGCTTTAAGCACAGTGCTCAAGACACTGTGCCACCAGGTCTCATTTTGCTCCCCCTGGACTCCTGGTGTGGCACTGTAGAATCAACACTGGACTGAGAACCAGGAGGCTGGTAGCTCAAACCCACAGATGCTCCCCAGAAACCCCTACACAGGGTCGCTATGAGTCAGAACTCATTCCACAGCACTTAACAACAACAACGCTTATACACAATACTGACAGACTTTCAAACACACACGATCATTTGTTGTTGTTGCCATGTGCTGTGGAGTCGGTTCCGACTCACAGTGACCCTGCATAGGGTTTCCGAAGCTGTAAATCTTTACGGGAGCAGAAAGCCTCATCTTTCTCCCATGGAACAGCTGGTAGTTTCGAACTGCTGACCATAAGATTAGCAGCTTGATTCATAACCACTACACTACCAGACTCCTTACATGATCATTAGGAAGACATAAAAAAGATAGATTCCAAGACTGTTTTAAGATCTAAAAGGAGTTTGCTAATTGTTAGTGATTGATGTTAGAAAGCTATTAGCCTGTAAAGGGAGAAAGGAAGGAAAAGAAGATTTAGAGGTAGCAACAAAGACTTCTCAGTGCCATTTCCAATAAGTATTTTTAGGAGGAACTAAGAATGACCATTAATTCTTCAGGGTATCTAACAACATCCCAAGGGAAGAGCTCCAAGGAATACTCTATGCTTATGCTCTTGCTTCGCAGAGTCCTCAGCTATATCTACCACACGTCGTACAGGGTACCTGTTCTGCTTGTGGAGGTGTTCAAATGTGAGGAAACATTTCCACCCTGCTGCATGTTAAAATGTTCCGCCAGGGAAAGATGAAGCTTTCTGCTCCGTCAAGATTTACAGCCTTGGAAACCCTGTACAGGGCCGCAATGAGTCAGAACAGACCCCACGGACACATCAAGACAAGAAGAGCATGCTAAAATTACTGAAGAAATTTCCCACACATGAAATAAACCATAAGGGAGATCAGAAAGAAAAAAGATTCTACAGAGGTTAAAATGCAGGAAAATATTGCTAAAACCACAGTGGTAATGAGTTAAGGTGTACACAGGGGTAAGAAAAGACCTAAACGAATAGTAATATGATCTCCTTGAGGAGTCCTCAAGGGATACCAGTGCTCCAAAGGGCATTTAGGACTTTTTACAGACACCAACAGGTGGCAGGAATCTTGTTACTGACTCCAAGATGGGGAAAAGGAGGAAGGGAGAGACAACATTACTAAGTGCTAGGAATTGTGCTAACTACTTTTCACATTCTTGGTCCCTTTTAATCAGGAGAATGAGATGAAGTTTGAACCCATGAAAGTAGGAGTACATGTTCTTTGAACCTTTAACAGGACAAAATAGAAAATTCAATTATCAGCCCCATGGTAAAGATTCTAAAGGAAAATACTATTCAAGAGTTTTGAAATCTTATAAAGAGTAATTATACTATACAACTGAAAACAACCCCAATGAAGAAAGAAAATAAGAAAAATAAGTTAACTGAGTTTCTTTAGAATAGGTTGTTGTTGTTAAGTGACATCAAATCAATTTTGACTTATTTTATAATGAGCTGTTGGTGGGTGTGAACTGTTGACCTTGCACCACACAAATTCATATCTAAAGAACGCTTGCAAGAGGCAGAAAGAAGAGCATTGTCCACACACTGTCCATAGAGAAGGAGCCTAAACTTTTAAGCTTTAAGTATCTGTAGCGTGGTTGAAAAGAATACCTCCTATTTGCAGACGATATGATCCTAAATATAGAAAACCCCAAAGACGCAGTAAAAAATCTACTAGACCACTTTGGAGGATTCAGCAAAGTGGCAGTGTATAAGATCAACATAAAAAAATCAGTTGGATTCCTCTATAGTAACAACAACAGCACTGAAAAGGACATTAGGAAAGCAATACCATCTACAATAGCTGCCCAAACAAGGAAATATCTAGGAATAAACGTAACCAGAGAAACAAAGGACCTAAACAGAGAAAACTACAAAACACTACTACAAGAAACCAAAAGGGACCTACAAAAATGGAAGAATATATATACCATGCTCCTGGCTAGAAAGACTTAACATTGTGAAAATGTCAACGCTACCCAAAGCAATTTACAAATATAATGCAATCCCAATTCATATTCCAATGACATTCTTCAAAGAGATGGAAAAAACAATCACAAAATTTATATGGAAAGGAAAGAGACCCAGGATAAGCAAAGCATTGCTTACTAAGAATAATGTTGGAAACTTCTCACGCCCCGACTTCAAAATTTATTACATGGCTACAGTGGTCAAAACAAATTGGAACTGGTACAATGAAAGACACATAGATCAATGGATCAGAATCAAGAATCCAGAAATGAACCCATCCACATACAGCCAACTGATTTTTGATGAAGTACCTAAATATATAGCATGGAGAGGGGGTAGACTCTTCAACAGATGGTGCTGGCAGAACTGGAAAGCAAAAGACTGAAACAAGACCTTCACCTCATGCCTTATACAAAAACCAACTCAGCATGGATTAAAGACCTAAATGTGAACCCCAGAATGATAAAGACCATCAATGAAAAAATAGGGACAAATGTGAGGGTTCTAATACAGGGCATACACAGACTAACAAACATTTTAAAAATTACATAAACAAAAG